ATATTTATCATGTAATCAGTTATAGCATTAATCTTGGAAAAAACAGGCGAAATGGTAAAAAGACCTGTATTTACCAAAATCTTATTAAATGCAAGGCAGTCTAAGTGTCATGGGAAATTTCAGAAATCAAACAAAATGACATCCTTGCTTTCCAAGTACTTGTGTTTAGTTTTAGATTCTGTATATACTAATAAATAGAAAAAGAAAATATTAAACCATTGAGTAAATGTCACAGGTTATACTGTTGTTAAATTTTTGGGGTGGGCTACTAACAAGAGTTGATGTAGCTTGAGATGGGGTGAAGTCACTTTAACTCTGGTGGGAAAGGAAGGCTTTTAGAAGAGCTAGAGTTTGAGTTTGTTCTTTATAGATATTTATTTTTTCAAGTTTTTATACAAACCCGTGAACCTTAAAAGAAATATTATGCCAAAGGAATAACCAGTAGAAGGCACTGCTTCCTAGGACTTAATCTCTGAACTAACCAAAGGTTAAAAAATTTAGAGAAAGAAACTTTAAAGAGAAGCTATTATATAAGGAAAGCAACTCCTATTCTGAGTCTTCCATTTTATATTTGTTCCATATACAAGTTCTTTGACTTCGTACGTGTCATTTTCCAAAATAATATCAGCAAACGATGTATCCTAAGCAGACAGTTTAAAGCAGTAAGGAGATGACTCCTCAATAATAGGTTTATTAATAATTATGCAGCATTTTAATAAAGTTACTTCATTTTAATAGTCTTTTACTTACACATTTTAAAAAGAACTATGTGATTTTTTTCAGAAGTACTTTAAAAACATAATTAAATAGGGTTTACCCATTCATTTACATGGACACTATTTTTAAAAAGGATACTGTATCACTGGGCTTGATTTTCTTCTTTCTGACAATATTAAGACATTGTTTAAGCATGCTTGTCCTGTGAGACTAGATCTTACAACCATTCCTAGAGAATAGTAAGAGAGTTGCTGGCTTTAGTACCTTTCATGGAACAGAACTTTTCAAAGACTACTATTTTCAGAAACGGTTCTAAGTAATGGGTAAGTAGCTGTTAACAAAAACAAAGTCTTATGGTGGGAGAAGCAGATAATAAACACAGAAATAAATATGAAATTTGTCAAGTGATGGTAAGGGCTGTGAACAAAGCAGAGAGTAAAGAACAATAGAGGGAGGAGGTGCTGGGATAGGGGCAGTAGGCAAGGAAGGCCTCACTGGGAAATGATGGTGGAGCAGAAAACTCAATGAAGTGAGGGACGGGCAAGTCTATATCTGAGGGAGGAGGGTTTCAGATTGGAAAAAACACCAGCTATGAAAGTAAGTGTATATCCGATCTGTTTCCTTTTGTTGTTGTAACAAGTTATCACAGGTTTCCTGACCTAAACAATACAGATGTATTCATTTATACTTCAGGAAGTCAGCAGTGTTACAAGCACTGCGTTGGCTCTAGGGCAGAATCTGTTGCATTGCCTTTTCTAGCTTCCAAAGGCACCTACATTCGTTGGTTTGTGGCCCCATCATCTATTTTCAAAGCCAGCTGCACAGTATCTTTTAATATCTCTCTCTTACTGTCATCCTCTTGCCTTGCCCTCTTGTAAAGACCTTTATGATTACTTTGGGCCCAGCCAGAATTCCAGAATAATCTCCTTATCTCAAGATCCTTACATTAATTGCACTGCAAAGCTTCTTTTTGCCTTGTGAGGTAACATATTCACAGGCTTTGAGGATTAGGATTTGGACATCTTGGGTGAGGGGCATTATTCTGAATAAGGCTAATTATTTGCAAACTTGACTGTGCATTAGAATCACCTGGAGGCTTTAAAAAATTCTGATACCCCATGCATACTCCAAACCCAATAATATCAGAATGTCAGGGAGTGTGACCCAGGAAGCAGTATTTTTAACCCCCTCCATATAATCCCAGTGTGCAGCCAAGGCTGAGAACCACTGGTCTAGTTTTCTGTTGCGGTCCCACACTCTTAACCCTTCCCTAAGTTTGCTACACATGTCTAAATACAAGTGGTTTACATTACAGAGTGACTATAGTACACGTACAGAGCTTTTAGCCAAAAGCAGAGGACTCCAGTAGCTTTAAAATTACTTTCACATATGGATTAGAATAGCCTGATTTTGCAGATTGCTATGGGGACAAGTAAAGGAAAAGCTATTCCTTGTAAAAGCAAGTTAAACACATTAAGAACATTCTATAAGTCTCAGAAAATGGAATTGAAATAAACATAAAATATGTCCTATTTCAGGATCAATTGCCCTCTGGCACCACAACTCCTCCATGTTCAGTGTTTTAGTCCTTGTAATTTTTGCTTCATAGAAATATTTATTTACATAGAATTTATATATATTTATATAGATATCAATATTTATATAGAATGTTTATCCAGTTGTATATAAAGATAATTTAGATATTGAAATGACTAGAAGTTTTGAGAAGAGTAGTGATAACTATGTGCCTAATGTCTACGTTTTAGACTTTCACTTTTCATAATCATTATTAATAATTATATTTATAAAGTAGAAGTCAGCAAAAAGGTCATGCCTTCTGAAGGTCATAGAATTGTGTATTAACTTAGAAAAGGCCAGCTGGTCCAGCTTTCTGCTTTGATAACCTGGAGACTGGCTCTTGCCGATAGCCTGGAGTTTCAGACAGTAGGAGACTGCACATAAGACTGAGGTAGACACCAGAATACCAGCTTAGTAACTCCAGCAAGAGTGATAATGCCCACGCAAACCATAAATACTATGGTTTATATAATAAATGCATAATATCCTTGAAGTCAAACTGCATGTGAAACCAAGAAATAATTAAAAATTCCTTTATTGATTTATTCTGATAAATCACAAAGACCTTAAAATATTTTAAATCTATTCTGTCAACCCATTTTTTTTTTTATGGGAATCAGAAGGTTGCTTGGAGAACATGGAACGGTGGAAATTAAATATCCCTAGTGCTTAGAGTTATTATGTATAGTTTAATATGTCAATTTGGTGATAGCTATGGTGTTGTCAGTGAGACCAAGACTATTCTAATTCTGTTAATTCCAGCTCCTTATTTCCTTTCTCTATACTTAGAGTATACTTGAAGTAAAGCTTGGTAATGAGGTTAGGAATAGTTAAAGATACTTGAAATGTATTGGCTCAGTTCACTTCTTTAAACAGTGCTTGCATGGTAGCCACCAACATTTCTTCTTCCTTTCCTGTTCTTCAGCAGATCAAGACCCCTACTATTTGCATATCTTCTTAAACAGTTGCTAATACATTTGATCAGTTTATTGTCGAGCATGATTGGCCATGGACCATTTCTCTACTAGGAGCCTTTGTATTGAATGTTGATTTTACAGTTTAACTCTTAGAAGGCAATCTGCTTTTCTCATTTTGGAGTTCTGTGGTTTTGTTTTTTGAGAAGGGTGTGGGTCATACTATACTTTTAAAATTTGTAAAATAAACAACAACTTTTTTTATTGAGTGTCTACTCTGTGCTAAATGCTCTACAAGTCATTTTTCACGTGGTACACAGTTCATTCTCAAAAAGCATTGCAAGTAGGTATCATATCTCACTTTAAAGATGAGCAGATTGAGGTAGGGAGATTAAAGTTCACAGTTTCTAAGTAGTGGAATCAGTTTTTCAATCCATGTTTGTCTGCTTCCAAGGCCTTTATTTCTTTTTATTTCTTTTTTCTACAGTGCTTTTTTCTTACCAGAATGTCTTTAGTACTCGTATAGTTTTCTTTTGAAACTTTTAACACTAAGAATGGTATTATTCAAGAAAGATTAATGACATCTCTTTTAGTATTATATTTTAAATCTCAAAACCAGTGATATATATGAAGGAATTGATGTTGCCCTTAGTTAATACCCTGCCTCCTATCCCACTAGTCTAGAAAAGAATGGGTGATTCTGTAAATACTCTGTTTGTTGAACAAAACTTACAGCTTTTCCAAGGTCATATTATTGGTAAATAGAAGGGTTTATTTTTTATTAAAAATTTTAACTCTATCTACATCTATGTAAAACTTTTAATGAAAGTAAAAGGAACTCTCTAGTCAATTAAAAATATTTGCCACATATTTAAAATCTCTGATTATGTTCTCAATCAGATATAGATACAAAAAAATGTTTAATCTTTGTTCAGTTATCTAAATGCATTGTCATATAGGCATTAGCTTCGTCAAACAAAACATCCTTATTTGATTTTTTTGTCTTTTACTTAGTTATCTAAGGAGTAAATAATTCTCATACACCACATCTAAATCATTCATAGAACTGTGGAAATAAAATTAAAATATTTTTGTATCCTTACCTCTTTTACTATTTTGCAAATCGAATATTAGAACTTAAATGCCTACATTGGGTGATTTAGAAGCTGAGGGAAGAAAAAGTCTTAAATGTTTCAAGATTAACAGTGATTGTAAAATTGATTCAATTCTTCAGCTTTAAAAAAATATATCAAACTTTTTGTCATGTGTTCTGAGGTTCACACGTAACCAATATCTCTGTATTTCACAATAACCTTACTTTTAATGAAATGCAGGTTTTTATAATGGCAATCATTTGTTTCTCTTGTTTACTTTCTGGTAAAATACATTTTAGCTATTTCTCTTCTTTTAACTCCCAACCGTATTTGCTATTCAGAGACGTTCTGTTTTCAATAAGGCCTATCAGAGTGTAAAACTAGATGGGTATTTTTCTTTAAAATGGAATGGTCTTTCATTATGCGGTATTCTTAGGTGAATTCTCTTGTTTAAGAAGCCAGAATACAAGAGAGCGCTATATTAGTGTATTATTCTCACAACAAACAAGCCCTGTTCTGTTGCTACCTGCTTGGCATTGTTTCTGATTGTGTGTGCTTTGCAGTGGTATTTGGATGGCTTCCTGCTCTCTGCCAGCACAAAAAGGCATTTCTGTTACAATGGCCCCTAACCACACAATGCCGGCATTAAGGATTTATGTGGAGGTTTCATTATTTTCTCGTCTTTTGTTCCTTCCAGGATGTCTTCCAAGCGACCAGCCTCTCCGTATGGGGAAGCAGATGGAGAGGTAGCCATGGTGACAAGCAGACAGAAAGTGGAAGAAGAGGAGAGTGACGGGCTCCCAGCCTTTCACCTTCCCTTGCATGTGAGTTTCCCCAACAAGCCTCACTCTGAGGAATTTCAGCCAGTTTCTCTGCTGACGCAAGAGACTTGTGGCCATAGGACTCCCACTTCTCAGCACAATACAATGGTAGGTTTCTCATGGCCTGTTGTGCCTACACTCACTTTTTGACCAGTCCAGCCTTCTGATAGTTTGGCTTCAGTCCTTTGCTTTGTAATTATCATCTTCTTACTAGCCATACGCAAGATTCACTCCTGACATCTTAGAATCTGTATAAGTAAGTAAATTGATTTCAGTAGGGAGTAAAAGGTAGACTATTTTTTAATTTTTTTTTTTTTTTGCTTTTTAAGAATTCGGCTTTTGAGATGCTTACAATTTAATTTGAGGAAAAGACCATGTAAATATATGAACAATTTTAAAGCAACATTTAAAATTAGTCAGCAGGAAAGTTTGATGTCATACCATTTCTAATAAAAGGTTTTTCCAGAGAGGGTTACAACATAGTTTGAAGATTTCCATCATTATAAATCATTGGTTGCCCCCCAATTTTTTGCTTTGCTCAGATTGGATTCCAGTATTCTTCAAAGTACTGGAAACATTATAGAAGAATATACTTCATAGAGACTATAGTTTTCTAAGGGTGACCGCATTGAATTCTAACCCAGCCCCATTCATGCTGTTGTTTTGATAACTTGCTAATTGCCTGGTGCATCCTGTTCCAGAATTTGAAACTCAGGGTGGTTTATGTGGCCTCTCATCCTGGGGCTGGGTCACTGGGAGCTGTGGTTTCACTGAGGAGAAGCAAGAAGGCAGTAAGGCATCTTTGGCTGAAGCTTAAGCAGCAGAAACACACAAATAAGGCTTTTAGGTCCGTCCTAGCAACCTCAGGACATAGAATCGGCTAGTAGGCAGGGTGGCCGGGCACTTAGCCGCCAGGACAGCCACCCTCGCCTTGGCGACATGGCTGCGTCACATTTTTGTGGCCTCTCCTCCTCTTCACCTTCAACGACCGTGCCATTCATTTGAACCAGATCACGCCGACAGAAATGTCGCATCACATATTCTCATGTCTTAAAGACAGCCCTGATTCTGTTAAACGCTTTTATTTTGGCTTCCTCTAGGAAAGTATTGTGCATCACAAATGCGCATGGGACTGAAATATGCCCGCTTGTTTATGCTGTTGCATTGCTACTATATACATGGAGTTAAATCAGCAAGAATCAGGTGTCCTCTAATAGCTGTGACATGGACACTAATCTTTGATAGTCACATTACATTTAAATACTCTCACTCAACATTTTAAAAGCTTTATGGGTAAAAATGTCTCTGGGTGTTCAACCGTTTGCAACCAAGGATATTTTCTACCAAGAATAATGTTTTAGCTAACGCTTATGTATCACTTATATAAGTTTTAAGCATGTTATATAACTCATTTAATCATCACAATATCTCAATGAGGCATCATTATTAACCCATTTTACAGGTGAGGGAACTGAGGCACAGGGAGGTTAAATCACTTGCTCCAGGTCCCAGCTAATACGTGGGAGGGCCGGGGTTGCACCCAGGCAGTCTAGCTGTAGAGCCCACGCTTACACACATTATAAGCTCTTCCCAAGGGCACAGGCACATTTTATTTTCTGGTTATTTTTACTGGGCAAGTTAAGCCATACTATCTATAATTTCCCCCTTGTCCCTGTGCTGTGAGCTCCTGTTAGTTATGTACAATGATATAACTTCTTGGCCTCCTCTCAGAAAGGTAAACATGGGGAAAGAAAGGGGAAGAAGTAGTGCGCAGTTCCACAGGGTAAAGATGCTGGGTCTTCATTTCCCATCACTGCTAAGGCCATTTTCCTCTCAATATTATGACCGTTGCTTTCTCTTTCTCTGAGGGAGTACCCTTTTGAGAGTGCTTCTTGGTTTGATTCTCTTGTGACACTGCTATAGACATAACCACAAATTTGAAGGAGTGGATATACATAGTGATGACTGGAAGAAAGCCTCGAAGATAGAGGGGAGATGATTTTAAGTAGACTCAAGAGTGGGTATAAGAAAGTATATTAAATTGGATACTGTAGTTGGCATGGAGAGATTCTGTGATGCAGGATGGTCATGAAAATGAAACCATTCAGTTTGTAATGGAGTGTTCAGTTCAACTGAATAAAAACTATGAACTGCCTACTTTCCACCAAGTTGTTTGTTGGTACTATGGAAATAGATGGCAGTCAGACACAACTCTCCTCAAGCAGCTTTCTCACGAACAGAAGTTCTTAACCAGGGGGTTTAGATCTCCTGAAAATGAACGGAGAATTCAATATATACACACATGTGAGTAGGAATATGGTTTTCATCAGATTTTCATGTAGATCTGTAACCCAGTAGGTTAAGATCTGCTGATCTAGAAGTTAAAACAGTTTGGATACACAAGATTATACTCAGTGTTACTGACATCAAAACTCGTAGTTTTCTCTAATTGGTTTCTAAATTCGTTTCTGCCTCAAATGTTTCTCGATTCCACCATCTTTTCGCCTCTTGAGCAGACAGTTGGAAGAGTCTCCCATGTGATCTCAAGTGTTGAGCCTCTTTTCTTTCCAGGCTTTCTTTCAACTTCCACTAGACTGGCTCCCCTGAGAAATGAGTTGGGTTATTTACCGCCCTTTGGAATCTAATGTCCTCGTTGCTTACAGGATTTAGTCTAAAACTCTTTGTGCTAGCATAAAAGTCTGTGTAGACCAGCACTAAACTATGGCTTTCGTCTCCTCTCCTGCCACATCCTGCCGTGGCACTGCTCCAGTCATCCAAGCGCTTGGTACATAGTCATAAACATGCCAGGTGACCTCACATGGCACAGCTTTATTCTCTCTACCTGGAAAACCTCTCTCTTTACACATTTTACCTTCCAGGTGAATTGTGTATCTTCCACAAGACGGGTCGGAAATTGCTTCTTCTTAGATGCTGTCATTGGTCCCCTACGGCAGAATAGGGTTGCTGCATGATTCTTTTGTCTATGACAATTGTTTATATCTTTTCTCATGGCCTGTATTATAACATAGGTGTTTGCATGTCTGCTTTTCTATGCACTCCTTGAAGGCAGAGTCATATATATTTATATTTCTGATACCTAGCATATAATAAATAATTAATGTATGCTAGCTGACTAAATGCCTGTGTTTGTATGGATGATTAAATATATATTTTGGGCAAAGTTGCTAAGACACATTTCATGGTGAATATGCCACTTTTCTAGAAATTTTAGAACAAAAAAGGAATCTACTAATGTAGTATATTCAGAAAGCAGGAAGTATGTCATAATAGTTGTGATATATTCAACTGTTAAGCTCAGTAAGTAATATTTTACCCATTTATCAAAACAATTAAATATATTTATAGAATTGTTATTCAGCACAAGTACTTTATATTTTTGTCTGGATACTAGGTCATTGTCATATTCACATAATAGTATCTTTTATTTCAGTAGGAAAATACATTTTCTATTTTTTCCTATTCAGTATCTTTGAAAACAGGGAATAAGTCATGGTCTTTATATCATAGGGTTCAATTATGAGGGAAAAACAGGTTTTCAGATTTCATTGCTGATTTACATGTGACATTAATGCTACATTCTTAAATAAAAAAAAAAGATATTGAGAGGTCTACATTTTGTATTGCCTACATAGTTCAGAGACAAAGTAAAACCAAGGCGTATTCTTTGTAATAATGGCTTGAAGCTATAAAGACATGCTTTCAGTAAAAAAAGTAAGTTAGAAATATTCCCTGAGGTCAAAGTTCTGCATACTTTATAACTGCTGCCATATAAAAATTTTAAGTAATTAGGGCCCTTTGTTCAGATTCAGGGTATGCAAGTGCTAACATTTGGAATTGGAGCTTGCTGAAGTTGTGTTACCTTAATATTTTTGAGAAATAAACTAAGTGCCTAACAGCCGTTCCCACAGGAGTAGCTGATATGAGTACTCATTGTCCTTCTGTTCTTGGGAAGTTTTACCACTATTCAGAGTGCACTATAGATGAACTATATTAAGCAGATTATAGACTTATATTTATAAAGTACTGTCAGATTTCTAATCAGTATGAGGTAGAGACACAGATAGTTGTAAGTATGAAAAAGACTGTTGATTCCTTCTCTGAAGTGCTCATAATCTTGCCGAGCAATTAATTGCAAAATTTGATTCTCATATGAGAATCTTCAAAAAGGTAAAAGGCAAGATTGGCAAGTCTGATTCTGACATGAATGGAAAGGCAGTGCTCAGCTTTATTGGTATTGAAGGTCTGATCTACCACTCTTCTTGCTCCATATGGATTTGGAGGCTCTGGCTTCAGAATTCTAGGGACAAGCAAGAATCACTAATTTTGGCTCATTTCTAATAATAGCTATGCTGTAGATGGGTTTATTTTATGACGTGAAGAACTATTCGGAACATGTCCTCATGTCCATCACCGTGATTATTTATGAGCACCAGAGGGAATGAAGTCTAAAGAGAAATAAAGTAGAGCATTAGGGGCAGCCAGGGACTCTGTGCTGGCCATTTCGGCGCTCATTTCCTATCATGCTACTTCTGTTGGTGAGATTGTTGTTCTAGTGTCAAATGTGATGTGAAATGAAAGTCTTGACCACCTGTGGTTACTGAATTATCAGTTGCCTTTTTTTCCCTTTTTCACAAAAAGCCTACTCTTATCTCAGCCAAGCTCTCTTTTTGACACCTCAGTCTCTTGAGTTGAGTGAACAGTTTTGTATCAGTGTAGAGTGGGTGCTTCCCAAGATTTATTTTAAAAATATAGGTATTTATTTTAACAATGTAATATTTTATTGAAAAATAATTTGAGTTGCCCACTCTACAGATAGCTGAATTACATATTAAATAAACACTATGTTTGTGATTTTTTAACATTTAATGATCTATTTGGTTTGGAAATAGGATGTTATAATATGTTTTAATATTTATTGTTTATATTGATAACATTTTCCTGGAACTGTTAAGGAACTCTGAGTATATTGTATAATAGGTTTAATGATAAACTTGATGTATCTTAATGTATTTAAACATTTCGGGGACACATTATCATAAAGCAAAATCAGTATGAATCTGTTTCTTTCTAAAATTCATCAAAAAAAA